AAAACCACTTCATATGAACAACTCAAGCTGTTGCATACGTTACTGATATAATCGAGGCTTCTTCTTTTGTTCAAGTGAACTTAGCCTTCAAACTTTTGGTTTGGACTATTCTTTAAAAGTAACTGCCTTTATTTATCGCGAAATCGGTCGAACTGACAATGGCGCCGATAGAAACCTTATATTACATAATACTTACAACGGCTGACATTACAATAGGTGAGCTAAGAAATCGAAAAGGCTACTCTGGAACTCTTTAGTGAACATTTGTTGCGGTTTGTAAATATTATTTGAAACAAGTACCATTAAAATGACATTAACATCGATGAAATCAGCAAAAAATGCATTAAAAGTGACTTATAAAAGTAAAATATGTCTTAGTCGAAATCGACGAGAAATGAAAAAAATTATAAAAATTAGCCCATTCGTTGTGTCACAACATAAAATGAATTTATATACTAAACTGCATTGTTCTAAAGAAAAAATGACATTTCATTAAAATTCGCCCCCCTTATGATGACTCTGAAATAGGCATCGTCCAAGCCTGGTTAGTAGAAATCACGAAAACACTTCTTAGTCAAATATGCGAAAAGTTCCCGCGTGTAACGAGTATGCAATAAACCAAGCAATATTCGAACTGGTTTAATGTAATATTCAATAATAAAGCGTACTGATCAGTGCCTTGTCAGATTCTTTTCGCTTAACTGAGAAGAACGACGAACGGATACAGATGTGAACAATGTAAGAAGGCATTGGTAGTGCGTTACTTCGTGTTGAAAAATGACAATGTTGCTCAAATAAATGCTGAATTGGGATTTTTTTCTAATTAGTCAAGCAACAGCGAGTTCATTATTTTTCAGGGAAGTTAAGAGAAAGATCGATAGAGGTTATCTACTTCTGGATCTTTTGCGCTTCTGTCCTAGTTCTTTGTTATTTCAGTTTCTAAGGATCAATTATTATAATTGCTGTTTTCATTTGGTTCTATTACTTAGAAGAACAAATTTAAACTTCCCACGTCGAATCATACCTCTTTCTACCGACAACAAAAATAATAATTATTTATTTTCTTCTACATTTACTAATGATAGACTCCACATTAACTCACGATAAAATTCTAAAAAAACACATTAGGCAAAATTATTTACATTCCTAATGATCGAACGATAAATTTAAGAACAGATTCGAAAACCTTATTTTAACACATTCTGGAATAATTAAATAATATATTCACACTTTTGGAGCCCTGCCTTTGGAAAGAAAATAACTCGCACGTATACTAACGCACATACGCGCGCGCACGCACACGCACGCGCGCGCGCGCGCACACCACACACACACACACACACACACACACACACACACACACACACACACACACACACGTATAAACAAGTGTGCTGGGTTTACTCGCCAGTCTCGTTGCTTTTGCTAGACCAAAGCGAGGATGATTCCGGAGCTTACAGCCATTTTGAAATTGATTGTATGTACTCTGGCCCAGAAGCCTCATCATCCTATGGGCTATGTCATGGCGTCCCAACCTGCCGGCCATAGGCTCGGGAGACCTCTGTAAAGCAGGTCGCAACCCCTCACGCCAACGTTTTGACATTTTGTACCTGCGAGAAGCGTTTACATTGTCAACCTGCTCTGTTAACTGAGGCATGATTATATAAAGCGACATTTTAATTTTTCTGGGAATTGAACCACAGTGGGGTCATGGCGGGATGTACGCCAGGTCGCTAGCCATGAGTCATTGGGGGAGGGAGCGATTAACATTTAGAGCAAAACTATTTATGATTGAAATAGTTTCTGCACGCCTGTGGGCCATCATCTTCAATTTAATACTGCTTCTAAGACTGTCTAGATAATTATTCTCACGAATTGTACAAAAAATAATGCATCCCATTAATATTCAGTGTGTCTCAGAATAAATATTACAAACTTCTCGTTCATGTAGAAGGGTCAATGAGCGCCTTTTGCCAATGAATATGTGGACGGAAATTCCGTGTAACCAAGTTATACATGCGGCATTTGCCCCTGCTAGTTACGCAACTTTCCATGCACTAGTGTTCGGCTGGTCATGTTCTGACCGAGATTGGGTGTGCCATTGGAACACACGCTGGCGCATGCGAACCACACATTCGTCGGCAAAAAGTAATAATATTTGACCCTTATAAATACTAGATGCTTTTTTACATTTATTATGTGACAACCCTACGTGATTGCCCCAAAGTACACGTAGAGTATTGTCCCCTGATTGTCAGGCAACCCACCTGTGATTGTGGTCGACAGGTTCGCCCAATATCTTTCCGTCACAACAAGACTTACCAAACATCAGTGCATATGCAGTTGCCCGAGCAAGGATAGTGCTAATGTTTCATGTGTAATTTCGTGACATAAAAGTTACTTCCTCTTTCAATTTTTTAAAAAGTTATTTTTGCTCTTATAGAGCAAAGCTCAATAATTGTTTAAAACAAGGCTTACGTTCACTGTTCTTTAAATTACCTGGAAATTGAAAAAAATTGAAAAAGTTAAACTTTTTTGTTGCGTTGGGTGTGTAAGTGTACCTAACCATACTTTGTGGCGTAACTGATACAAAAATTAATCATGAAATCTAAACATTTAAATTCAATCCCTCATCCTGCAATTAATTTTTGTTTAGTCAGCAAGAATTTTCATATGAGTAATAAATAACTCGAGAAGTGTGTTATTTTGTAACAAAACAAGCTTTTTCTGTAACACACATTTATTAATGTAAACATTTTGTTACGAAGTTACGAACGAAGGGTTACAAAAGAGGCTTACGAAAAAACAGAAATATTATTTTTATCTCATAAAATAATGAATTAAATTGAGAAGGTGTCTGTAAAGGGACTCGTTGGAACTTTAATGTTTTGTGATAATGAGGTTTGAAACATTTTCATGCCTACACATTTTATAGGATACAATATTATCAATTCAAGCTCATATGTAAATTTGTAAAAATAAAGCTGTGGATTTGAAAAACTGTGTTGCAAATCCAAATTAATACAGTAATAAGGGAAATTAATATTAACATTATGCACCATTTTTAGGAAGAAGATAGCCAGTCATGCTTTTTATGTGTCCCCTTTGCATAAATGGTCTTGTTTTACTGCAATAACAAAAGTCTGCATCTGCATCTTACAAAATAAAACGTTTTCGAAAAAAATGAAATATTAGAATGAAAGTACGTCTCCGTAGTTTCAAAACATCAATAAAAATGCTTGATATACGACTGCTATTGATCATGTTGTAAAACAACTTAAATAAATAAACAAAACAATACAAATAATAGATATGTTTTAACTCGGAATCTTCATTTATAATTTCCTTTAATCACATGTACATGATGAGTGGACACACTTCTATGCTGGCATGAATCCATAATAAACAACTTGCTGCAGTTTATAACTTTCAGAACACTGATTGTGTATCATTTCTTGGGGTTCAAAGGATATTTTCTTAAAAAAATCATCTTTACAATAATTTTAAATTATTGTGATTGGTCTGGTTTTCCATCACTGAAATTTGTAGACGAAGACTCACATAAATATCTTTGTTTAAACAGTCACTTAAATTTGATTTTTAAGTCATATTGAATATTAAAAATACTTTGGAAACGCTTAATAGCAAATAATACATTAATAGTGGCTTATCGTACAACAAAGTAACCTAACATAATCAACGAGCAAAATGTTCAGTGTGTAGAGTTCTTTGTATTTTTATCATGAATTCAAATTCAGAGAGGACCTTTTCAATTGAATATGATATACTTCTATTTTATTTTACATAAATGTTTCTTTATCTTCCACGAAAATGTCAATAAAACCCTGTCGGTATGTTGAAATGGAGAAGGTTTTATTCGTAGCTCCGAGCCTTGTGTTTCAATGGTGACATGGAAGACCCATGACCTCCCAGGAAGATCTTGTCGTGGTTTTATCCTAATAATTATTTCACAAAATTTTCAAATCTTCGGAAACGAACAGTTTTAAGAAAACGTTAACATTATAATACGTCAGTATGGACTATAAATTGGACCGCCTTTTTTATAAGAAAAAACATTTTACGCTAATTTAATTTTTTTTTTCTGACTAGTTTTCTTCTAAAACGGGACGTTTAGCTGCCTGAAGATAAGGTACACTCTTTGCCGGACTGCTAAGACGCAAGCGAGAGAGAATCATTAAAAGTGAAAGATATTGAAAATATAGTACTTACTCGAACTTTGCTTCATTATAATTTGTCGCATTGACGTGGGCAATTATTGTGAAGTGACCGTGACATGCTTCCCTTTGTGTCCTCGAGTGCAGTGTAGTGCGGTACTCACCATGAGTGTGACGCCGTTGCCTGCGAGGCTGTCGGCCAACAGTTTGGTGAGCTTGCTGTCGCGGTACGGGATGTGGCCGGTCTTCTTCTTGGCGTCGCTGAGCGAGGCGATGCAGTAACCTGCGAACAGCCACTTCAGCGTACCATTCACTTGTTTCTTTTTGTGGTGAAATATAGCCGACAAACTCACAGTAGAGGGTGCAATAGAATGCCGACATTTGAACTACTTCAGTCGTTTAATGTTTAGGACATGCTTTACAGTGGGGTCTTAATAATATAACCAGAAACGAATACCTTTTTACGTTAGATACGTTCAAAAAAGTTAAAATAGTATAGTTAATTTTCGAGTCTTGTCCGAAACTGTATCTTATATCATAATCATATTTTTTTAAATTCCAAGATTCGAAGCGCTACTAATGAACACATGAGGTCTTTTGTAAACCAATAAAGTCACAATTTAATGCCTGAAACAGTAAACCTATTACGCCTGAAACAGTAAAATAACTGAATGTGACGTTTGTGTGTGTGTGTGTGTTGGGGAAAGTCTATATTTATTGTAAAGAATGCGAAACAAGAAGCCAAACATGTGCTCAGCTGACTATTAACTTTTTGGATTATGGAAAAATGAACAAACAAAATAAAACGAACTATAAGGGGATGATTGACTCAAAATTGTAATTACTACTGATAGTTATCTTAAAAACATTATTAAAACTTAAACATTTATATGCAAGTTCGAAAGAATTGTGAAGGGACTTTCGGCTTCTTCTGACAAAATGGAAGAGTAAAAAGCAGGTAACCATTATGATGCGGAACTCAAAAGTTCCTAAAATGCTCTTCAATCAGAAATAAGATTTATTCACTTTTTCGTTACGAGGGCCCAACAAAACGTTTTATGTCAAAAAACCGCCTATTTAAGGCGCACGATTAAAATATATTCTCTTTTTTCGAAGTAAGGTGAGAAAGAAAAATAAATATTAGAGAAATGTAAAGTTATCTTTAAGGGAATAATTAGAAAATTAATTTCTTGCACGATAGATATAAGGTCTTGCATATCTTGCTGCCGAATTCCCTCACCATCTACAGTCTGTTTCTAGCTCTTTTGGAGGGTAATTTATGTGTGTGATGAGATAGTAAATGAGGTTATATTGGGACGTGGAAGGGTGCTGAAAGGGCTAACAGACGTGTCTGTTACTTGGCTTTATAACTTGAATGTTATAGTGTATATGGAGTCAGGTGTTTTCATATTCCTTTCTGCTACAGCCGATAAGATAATACATAAAAGTTTGTCGTTCTTCTTGTATAAGGAGGCAAGATACGAGAAAGCTAAGGGTGGATTGCTCACCGAGAACCATGAGACTCTTGTTGATGTTGTTGGCCTCCTCGAGCGTCTTGCCCTCCGAGTGCGTCTTCTTGGTCATCTCGCTGCCCGCCAGGTCGACGAAGTTGAGCTTGCCCTGTCGCGACACGAAGCACGTCTGCTCGCCCTCGCCCACCTGCTGCTCCGCCGTGATGTGCACCGTGAGGATGGTGTGGCTGCGGCTCGAGTGCTCGTTCATGCTATGCCGACCCACCGACCGGTTGCGCATCCCTGCCAACACACGCACACACACACACACACATGTGAGATCATTGGCAGCGAAAGTCAGTATCTGCTTGGCTAACCCGGGGACGCCGCGTTCTAGGCACAGGTGACAACTTTTCGGTCGACATTAAGAAACCCTCATAAGGGCAAAATGTGCAGAGATGCATTTTGCCCTGAGGAAGCTCGCAGAATGGCGGACAAACTTGGTCTCTGCGCCTACGACCCGGCGTCTGCCGGGCTGCCAAGTAGTTACACACACACACACACACACACACACACACACACACACACGTTTTTAAAATGGGTTCAATTAGGATTTCTGAGCTGGCATATTGGCGGAGAGGCAGGGGGCAGGAGCGCCGTAGAGCGCGACCTGTGGTTTGAATACCGCGTAATACATAGTTGGTTTATGACATTTGCAGTCCGCAAAGCATCACCTTCAAACCTTCATCATTTCCGAATCCTTTACCCTTATTGATAGGTAACATGTGTGATATGGATATCTGCGCCCTGAGAATTTGACTCTTTCATCCCTCAATGCAAGCATCGAAATGGACATACGGACTTCCTTGAACAATACAAGTATACATGACCAATATGGGCCCTAGGTCTACCTCGGTGCGAGGTTCGGGAAGTTATTTGAGGTATCTTTGGCGCCAACAGATGGCAACCGGAAGGGAGGTGGGCAAATAGAGAGGAATTATATGTACGAAAAAAGGGATAATAACACGATTAAGATTACTGAGAAGCACGATATTTCTTCACATTTCTGCCAGAAAATAACCGTCTACAAGCACAATCGTGCAGTGTGTGTGACAGCAGCAGTATCGATTACGCTCCACATCGGACTGTATTAACGAGGTAAAAAATGAAGCGGCTCGAACGAAATGAACTCCCACGTCTATGGACTGATCTGAGGGGGTCGTCCTCCCACAGTCTCACGGACAAGAGAAACGCAAATGCGAAAAGTCATTCTCACCTTCCTCGAGGACGGCGAGCAGGTCGTCGAGCTCCTCGCAGTCGACGGTGAAGAGGTTCTCCACGAAGAAGCCGCGCAGGCGTTTGGACCAGCGCACGGCCAGCGGCTTCCGCGCGGAGCCCGGGTTCAACAGGTCGATCACCTGCGCAGGAGAGGCAAGGGACATTCGTACACGGAGTTGCAAGCGAGAAGAATCTGTATTTGTAATGGATTAAGTTTGTCCATATGTAAATTGGTGCTGGTTTGTTCTAGATCGATAAACTCCGATACCATTGGGCCGATCTCCATGAGAGTTTATCTGCATCTAAAGTGTTTTTTCACGGCAACTGTTTTTATGCTGTTCATTTTGATATTACTCCATTAGATGGCGCAAGAACACAAGATTGCCCTTCAGTTATTTATCTTATTGTCTTCCATTTATTATCTTATCTTTCATTAATAGTGTTATTACGGACAGTGGTTGAAGTAGTAAAATTCCCGTTTTAAGGCCAATTGTTCAACACTGGTGAGGTTGATTCGGTTCCGTTGTCATTAGAGAATCAATCCCTTCTATACCACTCTTTCCTACACTAGGCTGCATTTATTTGTACACTTGGTTTGAGTGGGTAGTTTCGGAGGGTTATTGCTGACAGCAATTCCAAAGTAGGAAAGGCCCATGCAGCAGAGTCCGAGCATCGAGCGTGAGCCAAGCGGTCGATTCAGTGGACAGCGCGGGGCGGCGCACCTCTGCCATTACCACAGCACGCGTAGTGTATCTACTTTCAAACTAGCTTAGCAGAAATAAAAGAAATTAACCCAATTTTTGTTAATTTTTAAATATTATACAGCCTTTTAAAATGGATACTAACAAAAAAGCCTTGAAGCGTGGATTTTTGAATGAAATATTTAATTTTTCCTGAGGAGTATCTTAGCAATGTTCGAATAAACTACATAAAAATTAGCATTTTTCATCATTCTTAACAATATTTATTTTAATGTCTACCAGGGCGACTTCAATACTATCTCTGATATTTTGAAGAAACAAGATAATAAAGTATTAGAACTTTTGATATTAAATTATTGAAATATATGTATATGTATCGCGAATATATAAGATCAGACACAATAGCATTGCGTCCTGCATATCGCACTCAGTGGCCATTATCAAGCACAGTAGTTCTAGAGCATTAATGCACGCTGTATTGCACGAACTGAGTTTCTGCTTTTCTGATGCGAAGTCGATAAAACTAAAAATACTGAAAGGTGAGATTTACTGACCAGCACGAGTTTTGTTGTACTACATACGTACAGTGTCGTAGAATGGAATGCAATCGACGACGCTTTATGGGGGTACGGGTGAAGGAAATTGAGCCCACAGGACCCAGGACCTATCATAATTGTTCCTTCAGTTATCTATTATATGCATTTGTTTTCGTTACTACACATTTTAGTTTGTTTCGTTAATGAAACATTAAAATAAAAGTTTTACATTGTGATGTAATTTTGCCATTTTGAAAATCAATACCTAAAGAGTTGTGCCTTATTAAAATTATGTGATCTTAAAATTGTGTGTCATTTTGCTAAATATGCCCATGTCAAAAAATGATTTCCCAGATGAATTGCTAATAATAAATTGTCATACACAAAATTATAGAGAGAACTTTATTTTTAAATAGTAACATTATTTAAATATTATTACCGATAGATCATTTTCAAACTGTGATTAGATAGATTACTTCTGAGTTTTGTTCTCATTGCCCTTCGTCTGAAAATTGTTAGCAATAGTAAAGGGTGGAAACGTAGACTGGTTTTTGAAGTAAATTTCAACAAAAATAAAATTTGTATATCTCGCAGGAAACGCCTGAGTTTAATTTATTTTAATTAGTAATTATCATGACTGATTCTGGTGTCTTATATTTTAATTGGTGAGTCCTAGTAGCTTACTTGTAAATGAATGTTTATTATGATGTAAAGGTGTTAGAAATGTACAGTTAATGGGTCATTTTTTCACATTGGTGTCATTTTCATGCATCTTGACTCCCTTTTCTCTGTTTCTTTTATGTTAGTAAATGTTTCATGTTTTACAATGGCACACTAAGACTGAGACTTTGTTGCTTCATCATTTTTTACAAAATTCACTATTGCAGTTAACTCGTTTTTTTTTTTGACTCTTAAAAGGACACTGCGCTTCTTCGATCCTTCAAACTAATAGTTGAAAGAGGAGGAGAGGTATAGTCTGATGGCAATCTTCTGACTCACTGCTTTCTTGCGCTGCAGAACTTCTCCTTGTCCTTTCAAACCGACAAAGGAATCTTGAAAGTTTCTTCAGTAGCGACTTTTTATTTATTTTTGTTACATTTGTTTTGTGAATGTTTATAATCTCGAAGATAAGAGCCATTTAAGATTTGTGATTTAAAACAAATAATTTGTTACAATTATTAATACAATGATTATGTATATGATTTTGGTGAGGAGTTAATTTTGACGGACGGAGAAATATTTTTTTCGCAGCCTGTGGTGAAAGTGCAGCCGATTTTGTATGATTTTAAATGATTTACTGTTCAGCAACATATTGGTCGTGACAAACACAAAAGAGAGAGAGAGAGAAAAAACTCAATTATTACTTGGACAATAATCATCCAGAATAAAGACACCTCATCGTTCTGTGAAAAATTCGCTTCTGCGAATATTCTTTTGTCGACGCTGAACAATCTCAAATTGAGAGATTTCTTAGAACGTTATGTGGGATGCTCTATTCCTCACGAATGAAAAATCAGAAAGTAATATACTACATAACCCGCAGCTATGAGAAACATTAAAACACGAATATATAAGAGAATATCTTTAAAAGACGAAATGAATTTTTAATTTCTCGTATTTGTACGTAGTGTATATGCAGTACATGCGTAGTACAAAAAAAAAACGTTATGTAATGCGGTAGAAAATCACTTTCCAGATTTTATTAGAAATACGTTTTGAGGCCTCCTAGTACCGAAAATGTATTTTTTTCAAAATGTCTGTCCGTCTGTGTCTTTATCTCTGACTCTCTGCCCATCTGTCCTATTGGTCTGTCAGTCTGTCTGTCGGCCCCCTTCTTCCATTGGCCCCATTTTAGCCCACCTCTTCATCTGAGTTTCGTACCGTCTAATTCTCTGAACCCATCCGTCCGTTCCTCCGTTCGCCTGTCTGTCTGTCTGTCCGTCCTTCCTTGCGTCAGCCCGTTTCCGTAAGGTAAATTAATTTTCCTTGCGCAACCCGTCAGTGAGGAGTCGCCAGTTCGTCAGGATAGAATCGCACTGTGATTAAAGAAAGAATGGTGGCAGCAGGCCGTTACCTTTTCATTGTAGATCTCGAGGAAGGACGCCTTGAGCACGAAGTGGCACTCGGGGCGCTGACGGAGCAGCTCGAACAGGTGAACGAAGGCCCGCACTACCAGGCCGTGCTGTTCGGCGTCAGGCGGCGCCGGCCCGCGTTCGAACTGCAACGACACCACAGCTTACCCAAGCCATCTCTCCATTCCCACTCACCCAGGCCAATTCCCAATTCCCTTCCCACACCCTCTCCCCCAAAGCTCACCTCCACACTCGCTCACCCAAGCCAAATCCCCACTCCCGCTCATCTAAGTCAGCTTCCCACATCTGCTCACCCAAGTCTACCTCCACTCCCGCTCACCTAAGCCAACTCTCCATCCCCGCTCTCCTCCGCACTTGGTCACCCAAACCATTTCCCAACTCCACTGACTCAAACCAGCACCCTCGTCTCGCTCACCCAGACCATCTCCCCGCTCAGACATTTACCCAGAAGTTAAAAAAGCAATATAGGAAGATCGTCGCTGTTGTATTAAATTGGTGCGTGCACTTTTCTTTTGAGAGGCTGAATGGTCTCACCAGGCCTGGCGGGCCGGTGAGCGTGTGCGTCTTGCCGCTGCCGGTCTGGCCGTAGCAGAAGCAGGTGCAGCTGAAGCCGTCCACGGCCATGGCGAGTAGGCGCTTCACGCCGCTGAACTGCAGGACGTCCTCCTGCGTGGCGCCCGGCTCGAACACCACGTTGTAGGAGAAGACGCGCGCGCGCTGCCCGGCCTCCGTGGGGTCCAGCTGCCGGGAACAGAGCTCAGGTATAGAGGAGTTACTTTACGTGGAGACCACTACGACAGGTCGGGAAGCAAATCAACGTCATGTAGGACGATGGCATTGCAAGAGATACTGATGAATCCATGAGGAAATGAGCTAACTGTCAAAGAACGCACTAACTAAATGAGTGCATGTACATAACTTGCGGTTATGTTGAAAGCAGTGGCCAAAGCAGTAGCTGTCAAAGAGCGGTGTCCCTTGCAGTAATCTTTCTATACCTCTCAGTAGCGAAAGCTTTTAATTCAGGTTATAAATGCGTGCATTTAATGGGAGTATTTGTTTTCCATAACGGACAAAATAAAAGAAAACTGTTGCAATTCTTGCAATTGTCAATAATGGACAGAGAGTAGTCTAAGTATCCGCTAATTTTCAAGGTAGAAGAGAATATGTTATAGAAACTATCCTTTGTGATTGTAATGAAAAGGGTGGGACACGGATGTTGCAGAAACGCAAACGACTGACTTTAATGGAAGAAGTTGAAACTATTCCCTTGTGAAAATGGAACATAAAAAGAAACAAAATAAAGAAATTCGATATTCGTACTTTCTTAGACAATAGTCTTGTAGAGAATAAGATAGGATATTATACGCGAGTGATGCAGTTTATAAGTCGATACACGACTGGAGTGGAGAGGTCTTATGTTCACGTCATTAAATGCTTACTCCTAGGGAGCGGATTTCTATGATTTTGCATATTTTTGTCCGTTGCTTCAGTGTATAACTAAGAGAATTGGCATTTGGTTAGAATATGATGCTATATAGATTAATATGTTGGTGCATATTTGTGCATACTTGGCCGAGTTATCCTGTTGGTGCATATTAGTGTAATTATAGGCGTCTATTTTGCATATTTTGTTTAAATAGACTTATCTATTAAACGTTTAATATTTTCATAGTCTATTCATTTGTGAGCGAGCATTGATTCGAAAGAGCTTGTCACAGCTTTTTTTGTTTTCTATAGATGATAAAATACTTGTGCAAGTGTAGGATATTTCTTGGTAACCAGTCTGAAGAAATATAAGGCATACAATGTACTTCACGAAGATGAATATTTACTTATTTGTTTTTCTCTGGAGGGTAGATATTACGTTTGCACAAAGATATATCTTTACATTGCATGCTTCTCCTAAATTTTATCAAGAAATGAAATATTTTTAATTTTAATTGCATATTAAAGTGCATATTCCAGAATTTTTAATTCATAAATGCATTTTTTTGAAAGCATATTTCAAGAGTTTTAGGGCATAAAAATCCTCTCTCTACTTATTCTGCAGTGAAGAATTATTTTATCCATTTCCACTGGAAATGAAAGTGAGAAATAAGAGGAAGGGGCAATTTATGATCAGTTAAACAAGATGACGTTCTCACGACATATCTATTTTATTGTTTATAAAGCGCTTTCTTGCAACGCGACCATCGTCAGAACGTGTGGATTCATCCGCATCACGCATGCATTCTGGATGGACATGATGTCCCAGAAAAAATATTTTGTAACATAATAAATACTCGCGTCATTAATAAATGAAATATCTTTATAATGCATGGATACTAAAAGGAACATATTTTGAGTAAATCAGTTTTTTGTTTGCAAATGAGACAAACAAATTGAATTTTTCGATGTTCTAAATTTCGTTTACAGTGAAATTTGCTATGAATGAAAGCTTTTGTGACATAGAAAAAGAAACCAGTTATTTGTATTGCCAAGAACAACCGCACAAATCACATTTACCTAACTGTAATGAAGGTCAACTACCCACACGCGAGCATGCGGGTGCTGTCATCGCGCTATCGCTCCTTACCAGTACTGCTTGGTAAAATCGAAGCTCCCAGACCGCAAATTATTGTATTCTGTGTCTCTGGTACCCGAAGCAGGTTGTAATTTTGTTGGATAACTGTGAGTGTATCAAGGCTCAGGAAGGAACCTTAATGTTTAACAGAAAACGAAAAATTTAGATAATTAACCAAATATTGTATTACAAATGTGACGTATCTTATTCTTAGATATCATGGGAATGGCTGGTGCCAGACCCTGTGCACCAAAGCTAAACCAGGAAGTACGCTTCCTTCTTCGACATCGTTCAACTAGATGTAATACATACGATACGCAACACCTCCTCCTCAGCCTGCACGGCGCGTGCGGGTAACCGGTGCCAGCGCTCTTGTAACCTCACGCATGTTTTCTTGACTACTGACCTCCCTAGCTCGCTACCTAACAAGCATCACTCCATCCGGACTGGTTAAAAAATATTATATGGAAATATTCAGAACAATACGGTAAAATGGTCAGAGCTGCGTACGAATGCTTTTGTTTGAATTCAGACCTCGCGTTTTCGCAGCTCTCTCCCTTTTACTTCATTTACTCGCAGTATACGACGATTTGAGCCTTTCCTTTTGGTTTTTACTATTTGTGTTTTCGAATTTAGTTTCGGGAAGAAATTCTTTGGATACCGATAACAATTAAAAATGCAATTACTTTTGCGTCATTTCAAGCAGTAGTATTAACCACGAATATTTCACATCATGGTTGATTTTAATTGTATTATTCCTCCTATTATAAGCCGCATTTTATAAATTATTAACGACGCCCGAAGAGAAATACCTATTAGTATTGTAAGAGTTGGCAATATGACGTAGCCCCCTCACCGCGCCCCGCTCTGCGAGACTTCAAGGAACCTCGCGCGTGTATAGGGCTGATGTAACTTCTCAATCGTCAGAGCGTCAGTTTCGTACCATCGACTTCCCACGATGACTTATCTTTGAGAAAAATTAGTCTTCTCAATAACCAAAATAACAATTTATTTGTATAACATCTGTTTTGAAACTGTCTTACAATTTACTAAGTACATTAATGGTTAACTACTTCGAAGTTATTATTGATAATATATCTAGCATAGCATTCACACATTTGCATATGAGATTCTTTCGAAATAGCCTCCACGCCCTCGCAAAGCATGCTGATTGTTATTTTAGGGCCTTCTATAATACTTCCCCGCTGATAGTCAAACATAACTGACAACGGTCACCCACTAGGTTTCACCGAGTGTGAACCGCCTGCTGGAATGCGAGTACTCACGACGATCTGCCCGTTGCCCGGGAACTGCACGACGCTGTCGTCGCCCAGGCGCAGCTCGCGCGAGCTCAGCGGCCGCACGCGCACCGCCACGTTGATGTTGTCCTCCGGGGGCGGCGGCCGCCCCGCGCCCGCGCCAGCGCCCGCGCCCGCCCGCGCCGTCGCCCAAGCGCCCGCGCCCGCGCTCCCGCTGTCGCTCAGGCTGGACCTGCAAGCCGCCACGCTCCAGTTACTCACAGGAATAGCAAAGGCATTAGACATGGATAACCACAAATTCAAATATGGCTTTGTAACTCGGGAGCGAGAATTTGATGGTTCCCAAATGTTGCTAATCATTGGCACGTTTTATTCATCATTCAGCTGTGTGTGTAGGAGAGCGTGTGGTAAGGATTCTGGAGCACAAGAAAACCTGTGCAAATTGTAGTGCATTCTACAACATACATTGTTCAAACACAGATTTATTTTGTTGTAAATAAATAAATAAAACAATATTAGAATGAAGGATGCTAATGTTATGCGCTTTCTTCTACTTCCATGGTAAATAGTACGTAGTTTACGTAACAAGAAGGCAAAACAGGTGATTCACGCACGAGTCGAGACGGCAGCGAGACGAGACGAGGCGAGAAGAGCGCAGCCCGTCAACAAAGACACAAGTGAGGGAATCGCCTCTCGTCCGTGTTGCGTATACTATTTTTTAACACGCCGTGAACGAGATGTAATGCGTCAAGTAAAAGAATATAAATTAAATAATAAACAACTGAAAATACCTTACTTATGCAAAAGTAAATGGATTTCAATCAGTCGTATCAATATTGTTAGTAAATAATAAATAAAGACGAATGACAATTGCGAACCGTTACAGATGTTTCGCACGTGCTTCGCGATGTTTCGCACCTGTGGAAAAATTAGCTGTTTCGCACACGGAAAACAAGCACGAGAAACCACGTGTCGCGCACGGCGTGTTAAAAATATTTTTTTGAGATGGCTGCAGCTCGTTTTATAATGATTACTTCACTCACTTACGATAATCATCGTCCCAATAATATAATGTCACAGTGACCAATGATATAAAAAAGAATTGATTGAAACTTCAACTAATCCCCACTATCTGTAAACAAGAAATCATCGAATCTTACAGTCACTTTATTTCACTCAACTTGAACCGGTTTTTCTTTCATTTGTCAAATAGGCTCTTAAGTGTGTACCTTGCATTCTGAGAAAAGAAAGAAATACTGATACGAAAGTCTTAAATCATTGAAACCTCTCCACAAAACTTAACGTGAAGAGACGTATGAGAAAATAAACAATAAAATCCACCAAAATGGTAAAAAATACACCAGAAAAAAATTGACATTGTCAGGGGGCTGCTGTGAAAGGATCTAGTGCAAAACTCAAAGGAAGATATACCAAATACTTTGAAAAACTGGGCAAAAAGTAATTGTGCTTTTAATAATTTTTAATTTATTTACTTAATGATATTTTTCTGTTTCTTGTAATGTTACGTGTTATTTATATATCTATTTCTTGTTTGCTAAACAGCGGTGGCAGATCAAAGAACTTAAATGTTCAACGCGAGTGATTGAGGCTGATATCACCAGAAGCATAAGAAAAGACAAAAGATAATTGTATAATTTATTTATTCTAAGCTAAGCAGCAAAGTGCTTAACACGTATTTACTTCACAATGAAGAAATATTTTACCAATATGTTTTTCTTTTTGTTTGAGGAAACCTAATGAGGAACCTTTTAGAAGGTGTGGTAGATTTTAAAATAAAAGTTAGTGATGTTTTATAATAGGGAAATTATTTTATTGTTTTAGGGATCATTTTGCATAAAACCGGCCTGGATAAGCGACATCGGTCGTTAAAGAAGAAGGGCCGTAGTTGCTTCGGCTCGAAGGGTCGCGGGTTCGAATTCTATCTCTGGCATGGATGTTTGTATGCGTTCGTGTTGTCCTTAAGTGTACTTTCTACAGTTCTCCCTACAATCACAGTGGTCGCTATATGACAAAGTTATTTAAAAACTACCTTAAAAAATTACAAAAATTAAAATGACGGAAATTTGTCTTTTCGATCTAATTTCACCCAAATTATATGTGATTGTTGTGCCTACGAGAAGAAAGCAGATGTACAAAGATATACTCACTTGCCTCTTGCTTGTTTCGTAATGTTCTCCAAATTCGAAAATTAATACTTATTATTTCATCGTCGTTTCACTATGTAGAAAGGGTTGAAAGTTTAAAATAGCACTGCAGATTTCATTCAAAAGAATGTACCTATAGTATACATTCACAAAATCGTGAACAATTTCTGAATGTTCGAACAAAAAGAATAGGCAAGTTGGAAGTTTTTTTTGGGGGGAGGGGCGTGACCGTTGGTTGACACTTGGAGAGGAGAGGTGGCTTGCATTGTGTGGGAGCCAGGCAGGCAGGGAAAGCCACTCGACTTCTTCGCAGACGCAGCGCCAAGGCACCGGGGCTCAGTAGGCGCTGCCAGAAGGCGGCGCGGCGTAGGCTTCTATTGTCCTCGTTGCCATCGATCTGCATTCTCTCCAACTCATTTTCCGAACAATTGTGTCCTTTGCGGTGAAGCTTTTTCCCTCCGGTATCTAGAGATTGTTACATAAGAGCGGGAAGTCCGATGAAGGGTTTCTAGCTTTACCATGTTGGCACAGTCTTGTACCCCATGTTATTGAGAAGCAAATTGTGTGAGAGGTCAATTTTATCTGTAAGTCATTAGCCTAGAAGATCAGGTATTAAAAACTGGGCTAGCCAATATAAAACTTGATATAGTTATAAAATTAAATTAATGGATAATATTGTTTATTAAAAATTAATTAAAGAGAAAAGATTGTGAGGAGTATTCAATGTACAAAACAAATATGAAAAATATTTTTTAAGATGTAATATGTGTAATTGAATATATAAATTGTAACATCTGTTATTTTTAAGTTTGTGCGTGCATACGGTCTACGTATTTTAAAAGCGAGCTCAAATAAATAAATAATAAAATTAAAAGAAACTTAAGTATTCGTGCAAATTATCAATTTCAATTTCGCAAATAAATGAGCCTGACTCGTAAAAAATGTAATGTATATACAATGTCCGTCTATGAATTACAATTTAGGTTTGTTTCTTGTAAAAACAAAAGTCGATGTATTGTAGTGCATTAATTCATGCAATATACCGTTTTACTTAACAGTAGTTAAATTTGCTATACAGCCAAAATATGATATTTTCACTTCTAGTAACAGGGGCTCTACAAGCGTTTAAAATGACCTCCTCTTGCTTGAACGCAATGTAGGCATCTGCACCGCACGGCCTCGATAACGCTCACATCTTTGCCGAGTGGTACCTTTATTTCTGCTGCCTCACTTTCAATGTGTTAAAGAAGGGCATGGCCATCCTCGCCTTCGGAAGTACAAAAGCGATCTTTCATTAACCCCAGCTCCAAAGGCGTTGGGAGTACATGAGTTATAAAATGTAGATACTGAACGCTTCTTAAAAGCTCGTGTGAAAGAAATGAAGACAGAGGATAAATTTATCCAAAATGCCAACCGACAAAGTTAATGGGAATTGTTATGAGCTACACTACATAAAACATGAAGATTTTCCTCTGCTTTCACATGCAAATTGTGCACATTGGTTGTTCCAATTTTTGTAAAACACTCATCTGACCAAAGAACAAAATTCCAGGTCGTCTTTGCATTTGCGCAGGAAATGTCTAGCGACTGAAAAGGACGTTATAAGTAACTACTACGCATATGTTGCGCCCGCTGGAACTGGAAAAGTCACAATCTCCCGGCATGAATTGTTCGTTAGACGTGGGACTGTGATGCCTTGACCTCGCACGCTATTTCCTTGTGCTCGCTTCCTGGGCTTCTCTGATAGTACTAGCAATTTAATTTTCCAGAGAAGTGGTGAGCCTTAACGCGAGATGAAGCCGCTCGTTCACTTGCTGTAGCCTGTGTTATACGAGCACAAGCGTATAGTCCCAAGTTTAAAGTTAATTATTTACAATACTAAACGTCGCACATGCAGTCTGTATATTACATACGGAATAAGATCCGGGCGTATTAGCAACGAGGACTGAATCACAGTGTTTAACTCATCGTTAGAAAAAATGAGTTCAAACCTTGAGGAATTTTTGTTAAGGATTATACGCAGTGAATAATATACGTTTTTTCCTTTAGTGCGTACTGAAACAATAATTTCAAAATCCTCATCTTTCAACTTCCCTATTCGTTCGATCCATTACCAAGAACCAATTCGGTATCAGGATTTCGAAGAACATTCCAGTGACCTCAATCCCATAAAGTGTGATTTCTATTCATGCCTCTGAATTGGCTGATGTAATATAGTCATCATAACCTATGCAATGTCTCTCGTATGTGAGAAAAATAAATGTGAGTAATTAACGTATTAAGACAGAAGTATACGGTGCATGGCTCCACAACACGCGGGTGAACGAAGCGAGTTTGTCGAGCGGCTGGGCGGGGTGGCGAGGGGGAAGGGGGGATGAGGAAGGGGAGGGAGATTCATTGTCAGCCTTGGAGGCGCTGTCGGTCGCCGCCACCTCCATCCATCAGCGCTTCGGCGGAGGCGGCGGCGCCAGGCGCGAGCGCGACGGGAGAGGGGGCGGTCGATGTCCCTCCCGGCCCCGCCCACCGCGGCCTCCGGGCTTTGATCTCGACAGGCGCGTTCCTGCGCCCAAGGACACCGTTGCCATTCACGTTCATTGGCAGGTCAAGTTGTACCAGACAACTCGCGTCCGTTGGCTCAGCTTTCATGGCACATACCTACGCGCTGTAGGCCTCGTCTGCACTGATGAGAAGACTTTAATCCCGCCTGTGCTCAGTATCTTTTAGCTACTACTGTCGATCCTCAGGGACTTGGACGACAAAGCTCCTTCTCTTTGCTGGCTCCAGCCTCACAGAACTTCGTACGAATAGTCTTAGTCCCGACCAGAACAGTCGCAGGATGTAGATCTTTGATACGATTGGGTAAGATCTCCTTATTTGACACGCAAAGCATCTGAATACTACAGAATATATAAGGAGCCGTGTTCGTACTTTGAAGGAGCTATGCGGTCGTGGAATACCATTTGGGATTAACAGGCATGAGTTTGTTCCAGAAAGAATACCATTGGG